TCCTCATACAGACGATGTCCTGACTCATTTTTTTCCATTATCGATGGAATCAGGTCTTCTTTTTCTCTATTGAGCTGTAGTTCTGCAGTTACGATAACTTTTCTGTCAATTTGGCCCTGCGGAACAAAAAAACTGTGTGCTGTGTGGTTTTGTTAGTCCCTCTTGGGGATTTTTTTATGGAGGGGGGGGGGTATTTTATTTTTTTTAGATGGGATGGGTGGTAACGGAGAAGAGATATGATGGTTTTTCTTTGTTTTATTTTTCTGTTGATGTTTTGTTCGAGTTTTTTGTGGGTCTGTTTTGGGATTTGAACGTTGTTGGTGTTTTGTTGTTGCTTTTGATGTTATTGTTGTTGTTGTTGATATTGTTGCACACAAATATTTCAAATTATGCAGCTTTTTATATTGTTTTAGAAAGTGACGTATCTCGGATACAACGAACAAGAGCAAATACTGTTCATAAAAAAAACTATAAATAGAGAAACGAAACTAAACTTGTTGTCAGCGGAGTGGCAGGATCGTTGATAATAAATAATATTACTGTGCGTCGACGGCCGGCGAGCCTTCTTCAAAAAGTACAACACCTCGTTGTTTACGATCTCTTCCATGATGACCAACTGACAGTTATTGACAGCATTCCAGGAAGTCCCAAATCAGCCAAATTTCACCGGGCCAGATCACTCAATTTCGGCCAGAGACATACATCTAGATGCTAAATGTAAGTGAACCTGACACATGTACCCAATGCACACGGCCAGTTGGATTCATTTGATTGAGTTGGCGGCAACCACCTTTTCCTTAATGGGTGGGGCGAAAGCCACCATTTTGGCACAATCAACAAACGTTTATCTTTCAAGGTCAGGAGTTGAATCGGTGGTATTGTGCCAAAACGATAGCTTTTACCCCACCCCGTGAAGGAACCTCTGAATCTTGTTGAAAGTGTGCAGTGGGCATTAGATTCACTAACGGATGTTTGCCCCTGACATTAACATAGGCCATAATGGTAGGCCTAGTTTTTCCCCTCCGTGAAGGAAAATCTGGCTGGCCCGCTGGCCCTCGAACCGATCCAACGAATCCGATTGGCAGTGTGCACTGATTATAAGCAAGATTCACCGATACTTTGCCAGCATTTTAGACCCAAAAGTTGGGCCAATAATTCAAACTCGACTGGTTCTGACCTGAAGATTTTTAATCTGATCCAGTACTTTGTAGCACCCAAAAGTCAACAAACCTCAGCTGTCGGAATGTTTTGATTAGTCAGCTGTTTTCAGCAATGTATTTTGGACGGGGG